ATCAAATGAAAAAGATGAAACCAAAACTACGACAAAACGCTTAAAGCTACCTGTTCACAGACTGCCGCTTACCCTCGTTAATCATGTCACAGTAAATTAATACTGCCTTCCCAGTGCCAATACTTGCCGCTGATAGTGTCTTTTCCTTCACTCGCCTTTATTTCGTGACAAGATAACGCTGGTAAATCAGGGATAGAACCCAAGGGAGCTGCAATAAAAGTTTTGCTTTTCGTTTTGTTATATGTTTTATGCGATTTTTCTGATGTGCAGTCGTAAGTTAAGCCAGGGCCGCGGGAAAACTTTATCAGGAGAGAAGCTAAGATGAGTGAGAGAAAATGCAGGGAGAATTTCTATCTTTCACGTTTTCGGAATTAATTGTTTTCGTTGTATCTCAAAACAGCAACAAAGTAAATGAAAAAACCCACGTAACAGAAATGAGAAAAGTATCAAGAATAAGAACTAGACCGAGAAGGTTGACGGTTGCAAGGGTAATGACAATCGTATTTCTAACAATAATGGTAAAAATACAACGATTTCTTTCAAATGAGTACTTTTTTGTTGGCTGCAAATCTACCTTCAATTTGAAGTAGAATACACAGCAAGAGAAAGAAGCACAAAATGGGCAATGATAATCCAAAAAGAGACAGGGTTGGCCAAGGATAGGGAGTATTAAACGGCTGTGAATATATGAAAGTCATATATTTGAACTGCGGATAAAGACGTGAATATGAAAGCGGTCATATATAATACAAGCCTGAATTTTTTTCAGGCCCTCTTTCCCCTACTGCGTAGGTAGTGTTCATAACTGCGAAGATCGCTTTCATATTCACATAGAGAGTATTACTGATAAGAGTCTGAATGAGGAAAATACATTGCACGCGGATCTCTCCCTACTTACCTCTGCCGTTCAATCGCCGGATGTAAAACCATGCAGGTGCTGAGAGGAAATTTTCCGGTCTTGCCTCCTTGGTGCGGTTATTTAGTTCACATATCTTGTGTTTCCTATTGTAGTTATAGCTCTGGCACGTGATCTCTTGTCCACATTTCACATCGCAGAGATGTGGAGCCGTTACCGACCACCTTTTAAAGACGGATCGCTTGAGAGCCATACCTTGTATGTTTACCTCTGTCCTGCATTGATTATTAGCAGTTCCATACTCAATATTAGAGAGGAAGAGGAGGACTGGTAAGTGGCGAAATATCCACAGCATACTTCTTTTCATCTGCTGAATCGGCAAAATTGAATTAAATGCATTGCCTCATTGTAGATAAATGAACAGTGAAAAAAACTATTTCCAAAGGTTTCAGAGTCCTTTTCAGGGTAAAGTCCAACCGGCAAAGTCGACAAGGAATTATTTATTAGGCACCATAGCTTGGTCTAAACTAGCTATTTAACGTTGTTTAACGAGTTGTCCTTACAAGTACTGCCTAACTAACTTAGGCTAGATTGTAAAACCGTGCGCTATCAAAACAGACCGTTTCCGAAAAAAAAATGATAAGGATTCCGAAAGAGAGCTTCTTGTACTTGTTTTTTTGACGACGGCAGTCCATCTGTAACCTCTTTTTCTTTCCTGACTCAATCTTTTAGTTTTTTAAAGTTCCTGCCACCTCGTCAAGTATTGACCTCCGACAAACGTTCATTTGTTAGCGTTGCAAACAATTAACATACAAGGAGCAGAATTTTTCCAAAATATTTGCATTTATTCTGTTTTAGCTTACCTTTTTCGCTCTGACCTCACCCACTAATTTAGCAAATTTAATAGACATGTTTATCTAATTGATGAAGCATTAGAGGATTTAAACATATTGCAAATTCTTAGCTTTCCGGAAAAAAAAGCAGAGAAGAAACTCCAATCATATCAGCCAGTTGTCAAACTTCAGCGCCTGAAATGTATTGCTGATGAACTAAAGCCTTATTTAAGCTTGAGGTTCCACCAATCTAATTTGTTGGGGAAATATAACTCTTTTTTATTGCTCCATTCGACTCCAAAAAGGAAGTGGGAAAAAAAGAATACTCAGTAGTTTACGAGAAGCCTTACGACGTCAAAAACAAGCTTACCTTTTGGGATGTTATTCGTTCTCTGTAACTCCTCCTTAGAAGTGGAACACCTTTGAGGAAAGAATGCTTTCCCCAAAATGTGTCGATGTGCAACTTTGGTTACAGCCAAAACAGACAATACCAAACCGTGCGCTAGAAAAACAGACTGTTGCCAAAAAAGAAATGATAGGGATTCCGAAAGAGAGCTTCTTGGATTTGTTTTTAACTTTGTTGGATATAGCCAAAACAGACAATGCTAAACGCGTAATTAACAGATAATTAGCTGTTATCCAATGTCAACTTGAAGCAGGTGTTAAAAAACCCTCCTAATTCGCGTGACAAAGGACGAATTAAAAATATTTCAAAGTATTTAGGCTAGCCAGGATAGTTCTCCGTTTTTAAACTTTGTGCTCAGAGATGAATTCGTATCAAAACTGTTCTGTTTGCAACACCTTTAAGAAAAGAATGCTGTCTCCAGAATGTGTCGTTCTGTAACTATGGTTACAGCCAAAACAGACAATACTAAACGTGTAATTGACAGATAACTTCCTGTTATCCAATATTAACTTGAAGCAGGTGTTAAAATATACCCTCCTAATTCGCGTCACAAAAATAAAAATATTTCAATAATGTATCGAGGCTAGCCAGGATAATTCTCCTTTCTAGAAACTAAAACTATATTTAGCGTCAAATACCTCTGGCCGCCTCAGTGACAATATGAAAACATGCTTACATGCTTACAGAAGCATCCAGTTGTCTCTTTTTGACTAGATAATATGTCATTAAATATACATTACAACTCAAACCCAATTCGTAAAGCGTATTAAAATTTGTAGTGGTTCCTTAAATGTGACCTAAGCGCTTCACTGATTTAGTTGCGTCTAATTCAATATGTTTAAAAAATAATAGAAAATAAGTTAGCAAATAACCCTTTTCTTATACCTCTCTATGCTCTTTTACCCCAAAACCCTTGCTCAACAGAGGGGATTTACAGTACAATTGTGGCATGAGCAATAAGGGGAACACCATATCGTTACAGTTTCGAAACCAGCCATTAATAAATTAAATTCTTGGTGCAAACCGGGTTTCAAACAGGGGAGTTGTACGCATTTTTCATGAAGCACGCGGCAGAGGCAAAGTGGATCGAGCGTCGATGGTGTGAGCTGACCGACACGCATTTTTATTTGTAACTCCGCGGAAATGACATATCCGGCATTTATAGGGAAAATAATTATAATTATTATTTAATACATGGAGAGAGTTTGGTTATTCCATGTTGTTGTTTTGCAAAGGAAGCAAAGAAATTTACAAAGATGTATAACGCACGTGCACAGCCATTGTTCTGCTCATTAAAACTTTTATTTAGTGATGTTCCCGTTGCCGTCGTGATTTTCTTAAACTCCTTATTAAGATAAAAGACGGTAACATCAACAACAAGTAGACGGACTTCCTTCGGCTGATTGATCATCTGTGCTCTCTGAAAAAGGCTGGGACCGATTACTCGGCCTTGAAATGAGGTTCTCTGGAGAAAATAATAAGAAGACATAGGCAAAACTGCTATAGTGGGGTCCTAAAACAAGCCAAGGCAACGGCAATGAGAACGTGGCGAAACAAAGGAGTTAATGAGTAAACAATACCTCAGTATGCGCCTCTTTAAATTATTTATATATTTCTAGCCGTCTCTGGAAAACAACAAAATGAAAACATCAACATTTGCGTGGTCTGAGAACCGGTATACTAAAATTCGACACATTTTCGTTTCTATTTTGGCCACAACGCTTCGCCCATATGTTATGCTGAAGTTGCGGTCTGCGCTATTGGAGACGTTGAGTACATCCAGCCATTCGCGAAAATCTTAAGAAAAGTATAAATTCATTTTTCAATTGACATGAGTCTCACTAAACATATTAATAAGACATGTAATGCAGCATTTTAATTTTTTATATAATTTGCCGTCGCGGTTTCGGTTCGCAGACGACGCAAATTGTGGGGATTTCACGTTATTGTTTTACATGGGACAGCTAAGAAATGTACAAAGTTTTAAAACGCACGTGCTGAGCTATTGTTCTGCCAATTAGATCTTTTGTTTTTCCACGTCCTCGTTGCCGTCGCCGTCGTGGTTTGCTTAAGGTCCCTATTAACCACGGGAACGAAGAAAATTTTAGGTGATGGGTCTTTTGCCAGTGCAGCTCCTAAATTTTGGAATGGTCTTCCTCGTTCAATAAGAAATGCAAATAACTTAATTAAGTTTAAATCTCTATTGAAGACATACTATTTCAATGTAGCATATCATAATTGATATTTAGTTTTATAGTTTTTATTCAAGTTTTTAAATTTTTGTTCTATATTTTTTATATTATTTTATCGTTTTGAATATTTTGATGCAGGGCAGAGTGTTTAAATTTTTATCTAGCATTTAAATTTATTCATTTATTTTATTCTGTTTATTTTATCGCGCATTTGATCATATGTACAAGTAAAATGCGCGTTACAAATAATAAATATTATTTTTATTATTATTGTTGTTATTGTTATTATTATTATTATTATTATTATTATTATTATTATTATTATTATTATTATCAGACGTTTTCCTCGGAGTTTACTATGTGGTGGTCCAGTTTAACTTGTGACCATTCGGGGTCATAAGTTGATAGTCATCAGTTGTTTTTTTGTTTTTTTGCTTTATTTTTTGAGTGGTTGTGTGCTCTCTTTCTGTGAATCTTAAACTTATGATTAATCTATTTTTTCATTTCTTTATATCAATTTATTTTTTGTGGTTTGAAAATGATTAAAAGCAGAAAAAAATGTTAGTTTGTTGTCGATGTTGCTGTTGTTGGTTTTTTAGGCACGGGCTCCTAATCAGTAATCACTTGGCACTGGGGTAGAGTAACGCCTGTCACGCACTACTGGGCTTAGTGACGTCATCTTCGGAGCATATTTGAGTCGTGAAGCTTTTCACAAACCAAAGTATGGTTCAATAAAACGTTAAAGTTGTACGCATCTGGGAGTTTGGATAGACAATTTGGCACAATTTACAGGTAATATTCATCAATTTACCATTATGGCTTGCATGGGAAGGTTTAACTTTCCGAACATAAGAGGTTTGTTTTGTTCGTTAAATATCATGCCGTCCAACCTACATACAGACACTTGAACGATTTCCTTTGTTCGGTTTAACTCATCAGAAGACTTGATCTGTTTACAGGTTTAGTATGAGGTTGAATATTTTAGCTGCGATAAACATCGGTAGAGTTCTTTGGCAAATTGCAGTTCCCAAATTGCTAAGTAACAATAATTGCTCGCGCGCGATTCATCAGTGTGATAGAATTTACGGAATAATTCGTCTCCATAGTGCAGCTGTGTTATAGTATTGTATGGGTAGTCAACTACGAATTTAGGTTTTCTGCTGGAATACAATTATCCAACTGTTAAGAGAGAAATTTATTAGGTTGCTGCTCTTGGCAAATCTTTAACGAATGCTTTCGAAACGACATTTCCGTTCATGAAATTCGACATTTTTGTACGCGCCTTTTGTACAGAATTCTAAATGGCGTCCATGGATACGGCCGGTAGTTTATGCCAAAAGCGGGTCTCTTCTGAAATTCGAAGCTCATTCGATTAAAACACAGCAGAATCGAGTTGGAAAATTTTAATTTTATCAGTAAAGTTTAGTTTTGCTTCGTCCACCACGTTATGGACGGGAGAATCTATTCCTAAGCTAAATATTATGCCGGTGGTTTCCGTTTGAATTCTATATGCAGTAATTCGAAAGCATATTGATTTGACGCGTTACTCGAAAGAGATCGTCTGAATTTTCCTTTATGTAGATAAGGAAGGGACTACTGTCAAATGTGGAGATTTTTAAACCTTAAGATGCCGTTGAATCCTCTTATCATATATTTAATGTTGTAGTTGAAGCGGTTGTGTGGTTTTTACTGTAAGTTGTTTCAATCTCCTGGTTTGTTTTTTAAATGGGTGATGACTTTTAGGAATCGAAGTAAGGTTTACATTGCTTTTTTTAAATTTGATTTGTGTGTTTGTAGTATAACTGTATTTATCAATGTATGGTCATTAATTTTGTTTGTGGTTTCATAGAACTCGTAGTTAGGGAGGAAAGCCTTAAGGTTACTTAAGCTGGAATGACAGCTAAATTTAAACCTAACCCGTCTCTTACTTAAATATTAAAAATTCACTCAAAGCTGGCAGATGACATAATTCTCCAAATATTTCATCAAAATGAGTTATACACCGGTATGTAGCTCACAATAATCGCATAACTACTTTTTAGAAGTCAATGTTACGCTTAGTTTAGCACAATTTTCATTAAAAAAAATGAAATGGTTTTTTTTTTCGTGGAATGAAGAAGTAAAATTTACATAATTATGTGCTTGTGAACTTTATAATTCCAAATTGTGTTATTTAACCTGTTTTGTTTAAAAGCCAGAAAATAAGCTCTTCTTTTTGAGAAAAGAGGGAAATAGCCAAGAACAAGTCACACATCCCTACCTACTTTCATGAAGCTTGAAAAGGAGAGCCAGCTCTCTGCTTATTTAAAAAACTGATCTTGTCATAGGAAACAAATGATAATTTCAACTAAATATGGTTTTTCCGATCCTTTCCTTTCTGATCCTTCAGATCCAACAAGCAAAGCTCAAAACAAATTAAAAATCAGGTTGGTCTGAGTGTTGTGTGGAAGACACAAAACTGACAATAACAGGAATTGCTCTGTAATTCTTCCTAGAGAATTTACTACTACAATGATTTGGTTTCCCTGAACCCTTACACTCAAGATCTGATGACTAGCTTTCCCCTCTAGCTGCTACATTGTACACATCTCCTTGTAAATTAGTTTCAAGAATTTGGTGGGAGATCAAGATAAAAACTTCTACCTGATAACTTTTCAAGAGTATTCATATCAGTTGTTTTTCTTTATGATGTACACGTATGGATTCTATTATAGGGAGAAATTGCATGTTAATCACTTATTCAATTTAGAGGGGAATAGCCTAAATGTTATCTTTGCTCCACAGAGATGTATCATCTCTTGACACTGCTGGTGCTGTTATCAAGTGCAACTGGCGATGGGAATTTTCGTTTTTCAAACACACAAATTGTATTGTCAGAAGTGCGCTTTAATCAAGCATCATTTAAAATATCCAGGACAGGAGCGATGACAGAGACTGTACTTCTCAATTGTCAGGTTGGTTTTGCAATAACCAATAATGTTTGTTAATTTGATGTAGCAAAGCCTTTTATTTTTAATTATTAATTTGGTGTCACATATGTAACAGTCTCAAATAGAATTTATAACATATCTAGTAAATTTGTCTGTGACCAAATTCAATTGTGTGAGCATACTTCATATTCCTATTGTGCACACTCACCATGTCAGCAAACAAATCCCTTGAGAAAAAATTTTTCCATCAGGTGGAAAATGTTGTAAAACAATTGGTTCATACGTCAGCTGTGTGTTCATCGAGATATGAAGCACTTGAGAAGTTTGGAGAGTACCCAAGAAGCTAGTAGAGCAACTCTTACGCATCTTTCGTGCTCTCCAAACTTCCCATGTGCTTCATATCTTGATCAATGCACGCTGACGTATGAACCAATTGTTAAGTCCACTGTAGAACAACATTTTACTGTGCATGTGTTATTGTCCTCAGATTGTTATGAAATGGATATGCATGAAGCAAAGTCTTTGATGGTTTGATTTGTTATAGTCATGCATGTACAGTGTATTTCATGTCATTTGTTTTTTCTACTTTATTTACTAGTTACATGTAATTGACAGTTAAACAGTTTGAACTTAGTAGGGTATTCTGTTTAATAGCCATTGTTACAAGTGCATGCTCACCTGCATTTTTGTCGCAGCAGACATCTTTGAATTCTTGAATGGTTTAGTAGCTGTTTTCAAGGGTTTTCGTATTCTTCCCCTCTCTCCTTTTTCATTCCTCTAATGTAACTTGTGTTGATGAGTGCCAGCAATGGGTGCAGTACTGGGTGGTAGGGATTTCCCATTCATAGGAGCTGTTTTCCATCCAGGTGCCACCTTGCCATGGTTGAAACTCCCTGGATGCTCTAGGCATCTACATCTTCACATACAATACAGGTCTGTAGTCCTACCATTTCAGCAAAGCAGTGGTTACATGTAAACTTTTGATTGTCATTTCAGATGAATGATTCAGCTGTAGATGATGTGGATAGCCTCTCACAGGTTGTTGAATTTAAGCCAAACCAGAACTCTGGCTCTTGTGTCTTCACAATAGAAGATGATGCAATACCTGAGGGGAATGAAACATTCTCTGTTGACCTGTCTATACCTGGAGGAAACGGAATTACGGCATCACCGTCAGTGGCATATTTAACAATACTTGCCAATGACGATGCGTTTGGTATCATTGGATTCAATGAGGTGAGTAACCACAGTTCTCCTGTCTCCTGTTTATTATTTTGAAAAATTGGTTGATTCATCAATTGTATATATTCATGAAATATGATAGTTCTGAAAATTGGTTTAAGTTTTTGAACTTAGTCACTAAAGAAAGGAAAATGAAATTTACTCTGTCACAGGTATCAGACAAAAAAAAAAAAACAAAACAACAAACAGAAGCATCTGATTCCCTAAGGGAATTGTTGTATAGACTTTTGTTATTCGTGGTTCAATTCCCAGATTTTTTTGTTGTCCTATACTTAAAACAAACCAAACAATGTTTTTAATGTTTGTGAATGTTCAAATTTACATATGGAGAAATTTAAATTTCATTTAAAATCAATTGACATCACATGATCTATTTTAATTTTATAGACTGGGCCAATTGTGGTGGATGAACTGTCAGCAGAAGAGAATAGAAAGAACATCAAACTTATTAGAAAAGCTGGTCTGATAAGTTCAGTACAAGTGTCTTGGAGGGTATGCAATTTCTTAGCTCATTGGATTATGCTTAAAGGTTTTTTTCCTCATTTAAACTACTTTAAATGACAAAATGATTAAAACCAGTTTAAATAATCAAAACCAGTTTAATATTTGTCTTTTGTTCATTTTTAATCAAAATTTGAAGCAAAAGAAAGTACTGTATAAGTCAATTGTCATCATCAGATTCCAAAGTTCTTGATTCTAATGATGAGTTTGACTCAAGATCAACAATGTAAAATTCTTGACTCTGATGAAGAATTCTCTTCCAATCTTTGAAAAGCCAATTACTGCTCTCAGCAACAGTTTATTCAATACTTTTCTCTCCCAGATGATCAGACTATGCAATCAACTGTTACCTTAAGCTCAAACCATTTACATGTACCATAATAATTAAAAAAAACCTTTTATAAACTTGTCCTTTGTTGTTTGGTAGGTCACAAGTGGACCCAACAGTGGATCAGATGATTTTATTCACACCAGTGGGGTGGTTGTTTTTGATGCTAATCAGGACATGGCTAACCTTGCTCTCTTAGTGAAACCAGATAATGTAAGTAGATCTTAGATGATATAAATAGACCTTTATGTTTTTAGGTAACACCAAGCAAAAATAAACTGTAATTTAGGCAAGGTTTAAATCAAGTTAATGAGATTCAAAGGGCCCAAGGGTGGTTTCAATGCTTTTGCCATGTGATTTTGCTTGGTTTTCTTGACTTAGTTTGCTTTAACTTAATCTGTTACCCTCCCTACCCTCCCCTGCCTACTTTTAGCCAAGTATCCATTGCATACATGTGAACATGTATGTGGATGTTGTGTTGATAGGAGTCTTTTTAATGGGTTTTGGCTCAACGCCATATTCACCACCTTGCTGTTAATGTCCTCCTCTGTTGTAACTCTGTACCCTCTAGCACTGAATATTGACCATTAACACAAATAGAGTCCATACATTATCATTCACTAATACATGCTCAGTACCACAATCATAACTGAATGGTGTAATTTGATAGATGCTTGAAATTTTAAATTTTGGAGCATCAAGTCTTTAATGGCCATGGTTAAATTGTTTTAAATTCAATTTTTCTGAAGCAGAAATAATGAATGTAGAATCAACCTTTTCACCTCAAGTTCTATTACCAGTATGCATGAATATATACATATGTATGTACACTGTATGCACTGTACATTGGTTATGGTTTTTATTTCATATCGTAGGTGCCCGAAAATGATGAGACATTCACACTGACTTTAGAATCACCAACTGGTGGAGCAGTACTTGAGGCAGGTGCTGATCAAATTAGTGTGAGAATTTCTGCAAACGATGCTCCTTTAGAATTTCCAATTCAACAGGTTACGGTCCCCGAAAATCAGTCTACAATTGAGATTGAAGTTTACAGAGGGGTTGCTGATGATGGCATCACCCGGATTGGACCTGTGAATGAGGTTGCGACTGTAGAGTGGTATCTTGCACCAGGTCTTGCCAAACCAGGGAAGGACTATAGAGATGGTAAAAGTACACTAACATTTCAACCAGGTGATACCAAAAAGAAGATAACTGTTCAATTAATTGATGATAATGTACCAGAGCAAGCAGAGAATTTTACTGTCCATCTAGCAAATGCAAGTCAAAATGCTTACATCAAGCCACCTGGAATTGCCATTGTGGTTCTTTTACCAAATGATGATCAACATGGGGTCATCTCATTTGGTGATCATCCTGCCAGTTTGGATGAAGACAGTGCTGCAAGGGGAGGCATGTTTTATGTGAATCGTAGTGCTGGAACGTTTGGAGTGGTGACAGTTTCTTGGAAAATCCATGGTGATGGAGTAAGTTCAGTTTTTGAGAGCACATCTGGAATGGTAACATTCTCTGCAGGAGTGAGTCAGACGTCATTTCAAGTCTCTGTCCGCTTAGACTCTGTGCCAGAAGAGGCTCAGCAGTTCTATGTTCAACTCTATAATGTCACGGGTGGTGCCAGGCTTGAAAATTCTCTGTCAGCACAAAGAGCTGATTTTTTTGTGCAAGACAGTGATGACGTGTATGGTGTCTTCCAATTTGCTGGAGATAATGAGCAAAAACTAGATATGGTGAGTGTGTAATGTTCCATGCTAAAAAGTTAGGGGATTTCAAGTCTACTGGGTAAACATGATGACCAAACTGTGATTAACTTCGAGTTATGAAGTTTTGTTTATCATTTGATAAATGCTTATCATAATGGTAGATGTATTGTGCAATATTTATTTATGTTTCTTGTGTACTGTATTGAAAATGAGATAAAATGAAGCTCTTTTTATTAGAAACCTCTTTACTTAGTAGTTTTTAATGCCCCTGCAGAAAACTTAATTGCCCTTCAATCAATCCTTTTTTCTTTTTCAATCTTTTCTCAGGATAGTGAACCTCGTCATCTACTTCTTAATATAACAAGGACTGGGGGACTGGTTGGAGATGTTGCTGTAAACCTGAGTGTTAGCTATATTCTACCAGGAGGCAGCAGTAGTTCAAATGAGGAACAACAAGAAGTAACACTACTTGCTGGCTCCAGTAGTATCCCTGTTACAATGCAGATTGCCAATGATCAATTCATTAAGCTTGGTGCCGCATTTAAAGCTGAGCTGATGGGAGTGGCCCTAAGAGGAGGAGGTGGGTGCATGAATTTAGTACCAAGTATGCTTGAAAGCATTAAAGAAGCACATGTAGTGGTTCCAACACAGGGCAATGACCCCTGCAAACTTGCAGTTTAGTAGATTAGAATGCATACTCTGGGAGATAATTATGGTTTGTGTGTATCTAGGTATGGGTGGGAACCTTACACTGCAGCTGGGTTTGTGTGTTGCATTCTGGGGAAGGCTTTTACTGTCACAGTGCCTCTCCATACTAAGAAGTTTGAATGAATACAAGAAAACTGTTGGCATGATGACCTTTAGAAGAACAAAAATTGAATTTCTTATAAAAAAATATGTTCAACAGCTTCTTCTGTAGTGGACTCAGTGAAACCCTCATCGCCTAGGATTGGAAACAGATCTATCATCTACCTAAACATAACAGCGGCAGATGCCAATGGAGAAGTTGGATTTTCCACAGTGCATCAGAGAGTTTCTGTTCAGGAGGCAGAAGGTCCATTGTCACGGTTTGTTCATTTGCTGGTAAAGAGAACTGGAACTGCCGATAGGGTTGTCGTTTACTGGAATATCACAAGCACTAGTGCCACATTTTTTGCTAATGATACTGGTCCTCAGAATGGAAATGTCACATTTGAAGAAGGTAATATTCCTTTGAGGAAAATCTTTCAAATTACATGTATTTCCAAACATAAGGGCTTTCCATTTTCAATAATTTTCTGTGTGCAGCTAAAGTATTTTGTTTTAAGGCAGGATTATGATTCTCTTAAGTATTGTTCTCACATTTCTTGCACTTCCTACTTTGTTGAAAACTATAAGGGATGGAACCAAACAAAAACCTCTCTATTAAAAAAAAAAAAAAAAAAGAAAAAGCAATTCTTCATAATGGCTCTCAGTTATGGTAATGAAGTATATTATTTAGAAAAAGAAGAAAAACAAAATCAGATTGAGGTGAAGTCATTTTAACCTACTCTGCAAACCTTATTCAACCAGCAAAAGGATGAACACATTTTGATTTTCTGTCTTTCATAATTATTGTTGATTTTATCTTGAAGGTCATGATGAGGTTAACATTACTATTGAAATCAAACCAGACAGTACTCCAGAAGTAGCTGAAACCTTCACTGTCAACCTCGTCAATGTGTCAAATCTTGACAGACTCCAGACAGGAGCAGTAAGTAAAGCTACCATTACTGCCACTTCATTTCTCACTCATTAACAATACCTCTGCATGTATAATGTGGTAATATGGTATTATAATGGGGTAATATGGTATTGAGTGTATACCATTTCATTTTGATGTTCAGAGCCTTACCCCTCCATCAGAGCAATTGATGAAGGGCTAATGCTCGAACCTCAGCTTCTAATCTCTTCATAGAGTCCAATTTATGTTATCAACTCAGTTTATGATACTAAATTACCCTGTTATACTCTTCCACAAATGCAGAAAAGTTACCCCCTTTATTCCTGTGTATAATGGTTGTTATCTATGGATATGTTTTACAGCGTAGTGCACAAGTGACAATTGAAGAGAATGATAATCCAGGGGGGACATTTGAGTTCAATAATACAGCTCCCCTCTCTTTAAAGGTAGGTTCTTGTTCAACTCTTTTGTCATTGCATGTTAACTACTGTATAAATATGTGAGGTTTTGTTCCAGAGGAAAATCGACCAGTGATTTCTTGTGATTATCCTCAGTTTTTGTGATGTGGAAGTTCTTAAAGACATTTTAGTTTGTCTCTTCATCTTGGATGAGAAAGTAATCTAGTGCAGTTTACCAAATAAACCATTAGCATTGCATCAAGTGATTGGTAATCATCTGAAATTCCTGGGTGAAGAAAGACTCTGTGAGAGGAAAATTTCTCTCCCAAGAACACAACACAGTGACATGGCTGGGCCTTCAACCTGGACTAGTCTGGAGCTGGCATGGCAGCCATTAGGCCAATTTGTCTGCTATTGTTTGATAACCAGGCATTACTGAAATTGTGTCATGCCTAACTGATTCAGTTCGGTGATTCAAAAGTTTGTTATTGATCAAAGTGCCAAATGATACTGACGATTATGACTGATGGAAAACTGAAAACAGAATCCAAAAATGTTTTTGTCTTTTTGTGGGCACTGTCTGTTATTCTTTATTTTCATCGTAACTTTAGTTTTAAACTTTTGCTTTAACTTAAGCTTTAAAATTCTCTGCTTAGGAACGTGATGCTTTTAATGTTGTCATAAAGCGAGTGGGAAGCGCATTGGACACTCGCTGGGTGCAGTTTAGAATGGTTCCTTCAGGTAACGGTGAATTAATAATTGAATGAATAACTTTATTTATGGGGGTGACACATTACGGTTAAGAACTGGTAAACTTGTGGCCCTCCTCTAAGATATAAAACTAATTTATAAATATTAAAAAAGGAAAAAGCAGTAGAAAATGGTAAAAACGGGAATGAAAAAAAAAAACAGTAAATGTTGTGTTGAATATTAAGAAGGGATCAGACGGTTTAAAAAATTATGAAATAGGAAAACTATCGAAGCCAGCATAACCTTCCTTACAATTACAATTACAATTATAGTTCTGTTTGAATACTGGTGCCAGATCTTATTTTAATAAGTAAAGAGTTCCAAAGTTTTGCGGCTGTAACGAGAAGAGTTTCCACCTTCTGTGTCACAGTTATACCTAGGACAGTGTATAGTTATATCATCATAGCGTTAGGTTCTGGTCGTAGTAACCGTAGCTCTAATAAACCACAATCGATATATTTGAACCTGCACTAGTTAAAATTGAGTGGAGTTTACGGATACAAATGCTGTATAAAATGCATTGAAAAAGCAAATAATAGTTTTTCCCGTTTTCTGTTTTGTCCCTTGATAACTTTTATTCTGAAAAAGGTTCCTATTGTAACTGGTCTTGTCCAAACATATCAGGATTGCCTCTCCTCAATAAAAACAACTTGTCTCTTACTAGGGTGTATGTATCTTCTTTGCAACCCTCAGTGAGCAATCAGCAAATGTTCTTGAAACACCCCCCTCTTACAATTGAATTATTTGCAAGAGGCTGTTTATCAACAACCAACATTGAAAAGGAGGGAAGGTTGTTCTCAAACATACATGTAATCATGTTATCATTTACTTAAACCTTCTTAATTTTGGTTGGCTTCATATGTAGGTGTGATATTTTCCTCGTTTAGAATTCTCTAAATTACTTGGACTTCAATATTTCTGTGTGTCAGTCAATGATAAATAATAAGAAAAAATTGACAAAATACAGTATACAATGTTCCTTTAATGTAGTTTTATCGTTTCAACCTTCTTGATGGTCTTTCATGGTAACCTCATTCATGGACAATGTGTTTTTTCTATTTCAGGAGTTGATGATTTTTTTGGTAGTAAGAAGTTAGTCAATTTTCTGCCTGGTGAACGAGAAAAATCTTTTTCAGTGATTGCAAGAGTTGATAATATTCCTGAGGTATGCTTGGAAACTCTTTATTAAAGAATTGTATTTACTAACAATCAATGCTTTAGACAAAATGCCTGAATCCACGAGAATTTCAAGTAGCATGTAGTCATCTTGACCAAACACGCTTGGTCAGGGTTTTGGTCAAACCGTCTTTTTGAGAATAAACTTGGGTAAAATGAGTGGAAAATCCTTACTGTGCAGAATACAGAGGACTAATAGATAGAATTGGCAAACATGGTTCACTTGTCCTTGTATACACCCAATACAGATCAAATTTAGATTCCTTGCACTGGTTATAATTTTGTAATAGGTTACATATTTACAAGTCTGTATATATGAATATATGAAATAACTGAAACTTTCTAAATGAATTACAATAAAATCTAATCTAGGTGTCAACAAGGATGTAAACATTTCAGGCAAATTCATTGTCTTTCTTACTTTGGTATCCAATTGGGATACAATAATCGCTTCATACTGCCTATTCACAGAGCCAGTCATATAACTATGAATGATATTCTTTTTGATATTTTATAGATTGATGAGAAGTTTTCGTTGGGTCTATACAGTGAAGGACCCGATGGACAGAAAGGTGTTCTGGGAAGCCAGATAACAATCAATGTGACCATTGAGAAAAATGATGATCCTTATGGTGTGGTTGGCTTCAAATCCGCTAATATCATC